CAGCGGCTGAGACATACCTAAACCGTTGCTTATTTACGGTCACAACTGTGTCAACGCTGCTCGCTTTAGGTATGAATCTATTTTAATTTGTGTCGTTGTCATAAATACATCATGGTATCCTCATTAGTCATTCCTCAAATTCTTGCAATATCTCACATGGCAAACAAGTTGTAATGATGCACTGGTCAATGGTCATTGCGTGACACCATCGCCAGCTCCCTAACCACGCCATTCCGTGCCGCAGCGCTGGTGATCGTCGCCTTCCTCTGCTACCTCGGAGTGGCCATCTGGGGCTGCACCATGGTCCGCGAGGGACTCGACCGGCGCAAGCTCTCACGGGACGACTCGTATGCCATCCATGCTTACGAGGTGGAGGACCGCTACTTCAGGATGCACCCATATCGCATCCAGGTACGTAAGCGAGCTTGTGAGTTGTGTGTGTGTCTTGTGTTATTTACTCTGCGTTGCAACAGCAGACTAGCCCGATCAATGAAATGTCGACTTGCATTACATTTACGTATCTTATGCAGCTTTCAGGCTACATGTCTTGCCGGCCTGGCTCATGTTCTTCCTGAAGTGTGAAACCGCTGTTACATTCCAAGTCCTAAGACATGGGGACTTCCACTCACCCTCACGGATGCAGCTGTCGGTGCCCAGCGGTCCGTCCTCTATCCTGCTTCCCTCGACAGACAGAAGAGCAGGCCACCCCGTCGCCTCACATACTGTCCATATGACAACCCATCCGAGTGGCGGGCAAGCACGCAGGCCGTAACATGGAAAAACTGGCCCCGCCACTTCAGTGCCTCCCGGTTCGGCCTTCTGCCGCTTCCTGTGTAGGCTGTATGTACAATATACGGCGTCGAGAACCTTCCTATGCATAGCTGGGATGACTTACGTATGCCGTTTTTCAAAATGTTGATGCGATCGTGGCATAACTTTATAGTTTTCCACTTCCGTCACGTCGGTGTTTATTATTTGCATCTTTGTTTTATGGTTATGTCGTGTTCCCGTCATTGACCGTTTGCCTCTCGTCGCTCAGGTGGTCGTGGAGGGTGAGTACAACTACAGCGACCCCGTGCTGCAAGACCAGATATCCACACTGGTGGACACGTTCAAGAACTCGACGTTCGTGGACGGCGAGACCGACCTGCTGACCGAGTTCTGGATGAAACGCTGGCTGTTCGACATGGATCTGTACGACACTATCGGTCTGGACGGCACTCAGAGCGTCGACAACCTGAAAAGTGTAAGCATGCCCTGCTTGAATCTGCGTCTTTTTCTACAGGGACTGTCGTTTTTGTTATTGCCTTATGTCTACCCCCTTTTATAGCAACCATTATTGAACATTTTAATTGACCAATGACAATTTATTAGAATAGAACTTTATGTTAGCAGTGTGCCATTTTTATTTATCTCTTTTTGTTACATTATTCATGATGACGACAACTTTGTTTTGTAGTTTTTTTAATAAGTAGATAAAACTCATTGTTTGTCATAGTCAATGCTTATAAATCGCAAAATAATTATCTCAGGATCACGTGAGCGCTAATTAGTCCCTAATGCCGATCGCTGTTTTTCCGAGGTCACAATTGACCTATTAATGTTAAATAGCTTCGAGTATTAGCCTTCACCGAAACATGCGGTCACACAACTCGTAAATCTTTTCGCTATACTTCCGCTCACGTAATCATAATAGCTGCTCAATGACAATTACGTAACGGTCATGGGTTTTCACAGTGGCTCGAGGGAAGCCAGTACGAGCAGGACGTGATTTTCGACTCGGCTGGAGAGAAGATCGTATCGACTCGCTTCCTGATCCAGACACAAGACATCCGAGATACCCAGGAAGACATGCGCATGATGCTGGAACTACGACGCATCTGCGACGAATCAGATTTCAAGTGCACCGTTTATCACCCGATGTTCACATTCTTCGATCAGGTAAATGACTTGAAGGCTACAAGAAACAGACTTTGAAGTCTGATGTAGGCATCATATGGTCAACTGGTGTTATGCTACTAGGATCTCACTTTTCCGGCTTCAGGAACTCAGCGGTAGTAAACCTAAGGCGCCTTTTGTTGAAAAAGCCTCTGTTGTTCTCAAAGGAGATCAAGTGCCATGAGCTTGCGGTGGCAAAATCCGAGACCTTGAAAGTATAAGCCTCACATTTTTCGCCCGATGAAGGTGATTGAGCAGCCGCGTAAAGTTGCTGTCAGGAAGGGCCCATAAGTACCTAGCATGCTTACGTAAGTGTTATTTCCACCAGAGGAGAATCTGATGCTCAGCATTCATGCATGCCAGCCTGAACACGGATGGAGTCATGAGCTCACTTAAAACGGATGGAGTGGTGGGGGATGCCCGCTCCATGGAGATGTTAAAGGATGCGTGTCTTACCAAGAATCACTGCATTCGAAATTTCCCACTCAAGCTTATAAGAAATTCGGGCAGTTTCATAATGTTTTTAAACCGACCGCCGGTTGGGCATAGTTATTGCTGAGCGCCCGATTTTCAAATCGGTGGACGATTTTGTCCGTCGTCGCTCTTAGTTATTATCTGGTTTCTTCAATGGCTTATTGAGACTGTGGTGTCAAGATGACCTCATGTCAAACTCAAAGTATGATATCGAAACATTATCTGACCTGAAATGGTCACAGCCACCACTGTACTCACACCATTCCACATGCCGTGACTGCGCCTGCTACATCCCGCGCTGGTTCTAAGTATGTCCGATGTTTGACGGTCGCTCCTCCTCTGTCCGACAGTTTGCTGTGGTGCGTGAGGTCTCGATCCAGTCCATCTCCATCAGCGCAGTGGTGATGATGATCGTCTCCCTCATCTTCATCCCGAGTCCCACCTGCTCACTCTGGGTGGCCTTCAGCATCATCAGCATCGAGACCGGCGTCGTCGGCTACATGACGCTGTGGAACGTCAACCTTGACTGCATCTCCATGATCAACCTCATCATGTGCATTGGCTTCTCAGTGGACTTTTCGGCCCACATCAGCTACGCGTACCTGTCTGGTCGCGGACTGTCTGCCGACGATAGGCTCCGGGAGGCACTTCACTCCCTGGGCCTGCCGATCCTGCAGGGAGGCGTCTCCACCATCCTTGCGGTAGGAACCCTGGCACTGGCACCCTCCTACATCTTTATCACCTTCTTCAAGACCAACTTCCTGGTGATTGCGTTCGGCATGTTGCACGGCATGCTGCTTCTGCCGGTGTTGCTGTCTTTGCTGGGTCCCGGCTCACACTGCTGCTCCGGACGCGGCAAAGGCGAAGACCCTGAGGAACCCAGAGTAGAGTCGATCGCCTGCCACGAGCAGAAGATCATCATGGCCTCGGAGACGCCGCTGCGGATCCCTCGGCCGCAGACCACGCTGCCGAAGACCAAGGCCGGGTCGGACCGCGATAGTCTGGAGAGCAGCCGCGACCTCGGTCTGGGCACCTCCGCTGAAGAAGAGAGCAGCAGCAGCCGCGAGAGCAGCGTCGGTGTCGCCAGCGACGAGGGTCCGTCGCCGGCGACGAGCCGCTCGCGGCCGGCCCGCTCTCGCTCGCTGTGTGCACGTGCAGAACGCTACGCCAACGCTGGCTACGTGACTGATGACGAGCTCAACAGTCCGATACCGGCAGCGAGACAGCGGGTCCGGCACCGCTCCGAGCGGGGCCGGCCCTCCAGCCGGAGCAGCAGCGGCATAGCCAGCAGCCAGTCCAGCACCCAGTCCAGCAGCGTGAACAGCAGTCAGCCGGGCAGTCCGGCCAGATAGCCTGACCAGACAGACGGCCGACCGTCTCGGAGGCGATTTATTCACACCTGGCGGTATGAGCTGGGCGTTACTGTTGCTGCTGATGTCGATGTGGAATGTGGATGTTGATTATGTGCTCGTAGAGAAGCATCAATGTCGCAAGTCTTCTTGCAGCGATCAATTCATGAGCATGGAGCATAATAGTTTTGCAGTGCCTCGATCAGCTGTGATTTTAAAGCTAAAAATGTAAAAAAAGTGGCGGTTGGCGATTGTTTGACAGGGATTATATGTGTCATGAAGCAGTTGCGTTGCTGGATGATGAGGAATTTAAAAGCAACACTGTCTTATCTTGCGTTATGTGGGATACCTAACGCTGAATAATTATAGACTGTGATTAGAACGTGTAACTCATATGTATGAATCTGTGTGCTTCACCCGCGCGGGAGGCCTGTCCAGGCCATTGGATCACGCTGTTATTTGAATGTACAAACTGCCACGGCCCATAATAATGGCCGACTTGATAAACACTGCAGTCGCATGTTTTTATATAAATAAACGGTACGAGAACCACATCGTTTTATATGTCGCTCCCATGCCTGTTTAGTTCCTGCCCTTTTTATTTTTAGTTCCTGCCCTTTTTTATTTCGATTGCTAAGAAACGTCTATGCTTACCTTAATACGGACTATCAGGGTAGGTATTATAAATTTGGTTCACTGCTGCCGGTTGGTGGGGTCGAGTTCCACAAAAAAATATCGAACGGGAAGCATCAAACAGACGAGTAATTGGTAGTATTTACAAACTAATAGGTATCTACTACCTACATTAATCGGAATGGAAAATGACATTGATTGGATTTTACTTACATTGGGATGTTATATAACGAATAAGTTGGATAATTTCACCGCTAAGCCTACAGTAATTTTCCATTCCATTCTTATGTAAGAGCGGTAAATCTCACTTTAGATAAACTCATAGGACTCTAAATGCCGCATGTTTTATTCTGCATCACCGGACAAGTGCAAAAAAATGTCACTGTGAGATATTTATCCCCAAGTCTAAGGAAAATCGTCTCACATGTAGGCATGGAAGGCTCAACAGAACAGTACCAAGACAGACATTTGCAACCCATCCTGATGGCTACCAGCAGGGCTCAGCCGTTGCCAGCCCTCATGTCCCGAGGTCAGTATTGTATTGCCCATCAGGTAATCCACTCATGAGCCTACGAAAAAAAAAACACAAACAGGACTTATAATCGACATCATGCCTGGCACTAAAGATACAAATCAACACAGACTGGAATACGTGCTGAACGAGCACGAATAAGGGAATGCACAACACGCTGTCACACCTTAGTCTTAACAGTTTTCAACTCATGCATGCCACTGAATCGAAAAACTAGATTTGTCGACAAGGAGCCGTCTCATTTGCGGGTAGTTAGACACAGTGCGTGTAGCACAATATCGGCGCATTCGATGCCAAATTAACACAACCAACATGAGCTGAATGTGGACGCTTGAGTGCCACATTGCTACTTATTTCTAGTGGGGATGGATTAGGAAATCCAGACGCTTGGGCGTCACCTGTGTAGCGTACAAATGCATCGTAACGCAAAAACAAAACAGTCACACGCTGAGCCTATCAAAAGTCACCTCACTTCACATACGTCCCATCACATTCACACGTCGTCATGAAAAGCACTTCCAGTCTCCTAGCGCAGTTTCGAGTCTATACAATGCGGCGTAACGACGAGCATGGTGTTCCATCACGTAGCACTTCACTGGCCCTCGCGCACCAACAGAACCCCGCCTAGACGCCTCTCACCGAACACTGGACAATTTCTCGTGAATCATAATGAAGTCGTGTACATCACCGTGATCACCGCCGGCACTGACGTTTCCCGGTGGGGTTTTCCCCGAGTCTCCCCTCTGATGGCCGTGTGGGATCCACGGCCGCCAGGGTCGCGGTGGGACCTCCACCAGGTCTGAAGGTCGGCTATGTCAGCTCAGCTCGCGGCTCACAGCTCCGGCCAGCGCAGCTGCGCCATCCGTGAGCGCTCCGCCGTAACTCTGCAGGCGGTCCCTGATCACCTTGGATCGGTGTGGTCCGTGACGAGCCCCTCCCAGCCGCCTGCGGGCACCGGTGCCGTGAGCTGCCAGATTGCTATTTAAAGCACCGCTTTAACGAGTTGCTCTCTCACACGTATACGAGCGGTCGGCGTTTTTTGCTCAAGGCGACGCGTCATATTCGAGGACAAAGTTAGCGTGGGAGATGTTGACTGCGTGCATAATAAACTTCATGATCACCAATCAACAGTCGTTCAAGGCCAAATAATGAAAAGGTGTGGAATAATTCCCCATCCAAGTTCGCAGCATTTTTAGCCCTAAGCACATCTCCGAGGGATGCTAGCGCGTATGCACGAGCTTATTAATAGAAACCTGTGTGTTGCGGCTGTACTGAGGGGAAACACCTCAAATACACCATCTCTTCTTAGATGGCCAGAATGGTGCATTCGTAGTTTGTGCAGGCGCGGCAAACGATTACGCAGAAATTATGAATTGACCTTTGTGCATGATACTATTTTAACCTTTAACCTCCGGCAGGCCAGGCTGTCCGTTTTCCGCAGTCCAGCATAGCTAAAATGCCGAAATATTTGCATTATGTATATTTTTAATAATTGAAGGATAAGATTTGTTCCATTTCAGGGTTCAGCCAGATTAGGTCGTTGTCCCTCACCTGTCATCCTGTCCTCAAATCAGAGGCCTCTTGCACGAAAATCCTCTTGCACCAATGCTTGGATTATTTTGCATCGTATACCCAGTCCAAGTCTCACATGTAACAATTTGCGTGCAAAATTTAGCAAGCACATGTAGGATTATGTATTGGGCTATTGCAAACAAATTTACCACCGTTAGATTAGCTTATTCTGAAACCGGTTTTTCGATTTTACCTAACTAGGTAGTTTGGTGCAAGAGGCCCCAGATCACATAACAGGACCTTGCAATGTCATGCTATAAAGCTATGGTCAAAAGTCGTAGACCTTCTTATGTAAAATCGTCAAAAAGGCACACCGATTGTACCAACGATTCGAATACGGATCAAAACTTTGCAAGAATGCGTATGTGTCGCATCTTAACGGTATGAATGAATCATTTTTTTAATAACATTATCCATAAAGTGATATTTCAGGTCAAACGTTCGCGATTGATTCTGACTGTGTGCACTGTGCAGCACAAAATGAGTTAGTTACCTACCAGCTAAGCTATTTTCACCATTGACGCCAAACAATAGTGACCAAATGGCATAGGCTTCTTATTCGCTGTACAACCATTGCAACTATTTGTTCGGCGAAGATTCAGCCCGACAAGAAAACTTCAGAGGGTTCTCCCAACCAAACACCCTGCCTCTCGGTGCAACGTTAACGAAAAACAGTATCCGCATCACTGGAGGGCTTATACCTCCTACAACCACCAAGGGCAAGATGAGGAAGACTTAGCTCTGTGGTTACGCCCATCAAGGACAAAAGTATCGCAATGAGGAGTGGCAAAGAACACAAGGTTCAGCCATCGGTAGCTATCGCGGACTGTATTTGCTGCAATGGATCAGAAACCGAGTCCCTTTTCCCGAAACATCGGACATGACATTTTCGACTCATAAATATGTACGATAGAAGGAATACGTAAGGATGTTTATTGGCGCTGATGACACCATCTGTTCTACTTACGGTCGATGCAGTGAGGCGTTTCACGAGGTACGAAGACAGCCGATGGAGGTCGATTGCCGACAGTCTGAGTTGCTTTTGAAGGCAGATGCTGCTGAGTTGCATCGTGACACTCGTGAACACTGCACGGCAGCGGCCGACTAGAGCGTCATCTACTGCTGGTACGCTGTGCATAGTTCAGCACTGCAGAGCCGCACTGCATCACAAGGAGTTCATTTTCTTGACGACAGCGAGACAACGACACTCTCTCATCAACGTCGTTCTTGATGAAACAACTAGTATCACCACATTGTGGATATGGAATGCCACTAGATATATGTTGGCGAGTATATCACAGAGCGTTTCAACGCTCTGTTGTCGAGTAAAAGCCAGCCATTTCGCTGCACGGAATGAACACAACCGCTGGCCACAGAGCACATACCTGAGTCGAGCTTCAATGAGTTTCGAGTCAGTCACACACACTTTATCTGCCCACTTCACTCTGTCCAATCCACATCACTGACGTATGCCTATGTAGAGATGCCTTCAGAAGGCAGTCACTGGCACATACAGTCAAGCCCTCTGACCCGGTGTGGGTCGTGGTCACACCTTTGGTCACACCGTTTGACGACTGTGGCGCCACCACCTTGACGGCAGCGCACCGGCCTCCACTGTACCGACTGAGGTGGCGGCTCTGCACTACCGGCGACGGTTGACTGGGTGACCCGAAGCTGCAACAGAGAGCATTTGCTGGGCAATAATTTATACCAATTTCATGTTTGTCTATTTCATACTTAGAATAAAAACTAGATTTCAGGTTGATTGAGCAAGGCAAAGAGGATAATATTTTAGCCATTGCGTTAACACGGTTAATTTAATTCGTATTGCTAGTAAAATGCATGGTATTTAGGAGCATCCAGCCTAGCAGTTGCTTATTTTCAAATATTCCTATAAAACGAATAAAGTGTTCCATAAATGAACGTTTAAAGTGCACGGAACTGATCAACGCAGCTTACCAAATCAGCGAGCTTATCGAATGTTTGTCGAATTTCTTAGTTTGGTCTCATCGAAGTTTGCGAAAACCCAGCGTATCCTCGGGTTGTTGTCATCACATTGTTCCATGGTAACGTATTTTCGATCTTCACTGACGCCCATGCATTTGTTACTTGACCCATGATGAATAAAGTTTTTCTGAAAGCGTGACAGCATGGAATTGAAATGCATACACAGGTCACAAGACGTTTTGACAATGTCATGGCGAAGCTGGCAATTGCCATTAATTGTTTGCCAGTTGGCAGTACACTTCCTTATATTAGTAATTATACGATGCATATATGCAATTCCCTCCATAGTACGACTCAAACAATCTACCCTACATGGTAATATTGATTTGCATGACTGTATATAATATTCATCATCTCACCTTGGGATTGTAAATCCAGAACTGGTTGCCCCTGCTTCCGTGGCACGGGTAGAGGGTCACATTTGTACCGGCATAGTCCAGACATGCCTCGTCGCGCCGTATTTCCCCATCCTTGCTCATCAACCAATACTGGTGAGACAAGAGGCAGGGTGAATGGTCACTTATAGGAAAGCAAAGTAGCCAGCGGGAGTAAAATTAAACAGTTCGGTGGTTGTAGTGATTGTTTTCACTCATGCGACAATGCTTAGGGAAAAGGAACTTCATGAATCAAATTCGTTTTCGTCGAGAATGCATGTCATGATAGGTAAGACACTTGGAAAGTTTTACACAAACCGGAAACACAAAGTGAGATAAGTTATGAGGTGCTTTGACAGTGTTCCATTGATCATTCACCAGACAATTACCGGCGGTCAAAATAAGCGAAAAATATAGCTAAACCGTTGATGCATATTTACAAGTCACCTTGCTGAGCTCGAACAAGAGCTGCGGTGTGATCTGACCTGATTTCCTCCCAAGTTGTGGCACATGTAAAGTCCAACTGGCTTGTACATGTCGTTCACCGAATCGCACTGGGAGTCCACACACAGTTTGGTCTGCAAATTCCGAATCTGCCGGAAGTTAAAGAATTGAGAAAGTGTCATTGGCATATTCGGACATAACGGATCTCACAAAAAATCTGACCCTACCACGTCGCTTAAAAACAGAGGTGCTGCCTCCGTTGCCAGCTGACTGACCTTGCCACAAAGTAAATACCTGAATCATTCGTGAAAGCATGTTACCATTATTGCGGAAAGTGGAACGTATATAATATTTCAATAGTGACACATTTCAAAACACCAATTAACACCTCAGATAAGAAAAGAACGCAGTTTGTCCGTACCTCCCCGAAGGCCGCCGCCTCGCCAGGTACGAACAGCTCGGGAAACACGTTATCGAGGTACCACTTGAAAGACTTGCACTGCAGCCTCTGCCGCAGGGCGCGCCGGGACGACACGTCACCGTAGTCGCCCTGGTAACACAGGCAAAGATGACGTCATAGGTCATGGTCAGGTCATGGGGTGGTTCAGTCAGGTCATGAGGGCTATGAAATACATCTTGAAACGGAAGCCCAGGACGAGTTTAAACTCGAGCGGTGGATAATATGCAAAAGCGATAGCCATTTCAGTCAGAATAAAAGAATAACCCATTGTTCATGCTTCAAGATCAAGCCAAATAGCACTGGAAGACAAGCCGATCGAGTGCTGCTAAACAAGGTCAAAATACAGAAGGTAAAAATCAGCCCGGATTGGTCATTGTAGCTCCTACAGCCTCTGCAGGTTGCGTCCGGACCGATAACATCGTGAGCAAACCGGTCTCCAGAAAACAGCAAGCGACTACACACTTGTTCGTCTTTGGGGAGCTTTGGATATTATATGAGAAACCGGCAGCCCAAGACCTCAGTCGGCTCTTTGCGATAGCATCGTGTTGCTACTTGCTAGCGACCAGCCGCTGAAGAAGAACGTTGGTCAGTTACTTCAGTAGACGTAATTCGTTCCCGATCGTTTTTCTATACCAGCAAGAGCCCCGAGATTGAATGATAAGCTAGTCCCCTTCATTCGATCACACTAAACCTCACCAGCTCGTGGTTGATTCTATCGTAGAAGTAGTTTTTGTACTCGTCCATCCAGACCTCGGCCAACCGGACGCTGTTCCGGCGCAGCACGTTCACTCCGGAGCGCCACTTGTACGGCGAGCGCTTCCTGAAGATGTGGCCCACGTGGCTACAGGGCACGATCTCCAGCCGGCCGCCGCACATCCACACCTGCGCAGACGAGAAAAGGGAGGCTGAAGGCATATTCGAGACGAGAGCGATGGTTTTAGACGAACATAAACATAACAAGAAAGCGAATTGCTGTCCTCTCTTCATAGCACGTCATGCAAGCTTGCAGATTGCGTTACAGGGAAGCAACCACACTGAACATTATATAGCTACATTATGAGTAATAAATTCACACCTATCAAACCTAAACCAAACCTGCCTTGAAGCTGAGCTCGAGGTTCTCTCCACCCCAAATGTCGAAGGCCGGGTCGTAGGAGCCGAGCTTCTCGAACCAGCGCCTGTCTATGGCGAACAGGCCGCCGGCCATTGTGGGTGTGGCCACCGGCTCCGAGGGGTGAGAGTGCAGCTTCCGCTCCCTCTCCGGAATGGCGTGCCAGTTGAACTGCTCAGAGGCGGCAGAACAGAGACAGAGCGTCACCTCTAACAGTTAAACTGCTAAGGGGGGAGAATGGAGAAAGGTAGTGACATTTAACTGCAGCTAAACTGTTCAGAAATGGTAGAAAAGAGACAGTGCGATATCAAATCAGCGAGCGTCTATGGCTTCTGGTGATGGTCCTCCTCCTCACCAGCATGCCACGTTTACCAGCGTGCTAACAGCATGTTATTGTTTATACAGTAAGCATACGCACCTGCTTTGATGAATTATTGCGGGCAAATAAAAGCCAAATATGTGTTTTACAAGGCAGAAAGAACCAACATCACGTAGCAATAACAGCTTACATTTTAGCACAACGCTTTTTGCCCCAAACTCGCGGGCTGCAATCTAATTTCGCTCAAAGTCGTTTTATATTTGAGTTTATAGATAAGTAAATACACTGACTCAAGGAAAACATGACGTTCAAGAAAATTAAATTTGTCAATGAAGCCCTGATCAAACAAGCCAATTTCATGGTTGAGAGCGCTCTAACCAGACTCTCAGTTAGATTTAGTGGATACAAAAGAGCTAATTCTATCCTCGATTGACTTCAGATTGAAAGAACACACGAAAAAAAAAAAATAAATAGAATATTCTTCACGTGTTTCACTTTGCTTCTACCCTGAACACACAGAACACAGACCGACGCAGAGTTCTGCACTCTGAAATCTAGCATAACTTTTTTGGCACCAATAATGTCTATTCGTTGAACAAACCAATCAAGCATCTATCGTTCCGTCTATCCGTCCATTCATTCGTCCATCCACTCCGTCCATCTGACCATCCACCCTCTCGCCTCACGTCCGTCCTTCATTCATCTGTCCACTCCTTACATCCCTGTCCGTGCTCTCACCCCTACTTACACCCTTTCTACATCAGGGTTGTGCTTGACTCATGAGTCGAGTCAGAAATTTGACTCAACTCTGACTCAAATGAGTCAGATTTGAGTCGAGTCGGATAAAATGTTGAGCTGTTGAGTTGAGTCAGAGTTGAGTCGGACAAAAATATTAAGGCGTTGAGTTGAGTCAGAGTTGAGTCAGTAAAATAACTTTTGACATTGAGTTGAATCAAACATTTAGGAACATGATTCAGATGACTCAACTTTCTAGAAACAAGCTTTCATTCCCCCTCCCGCTTCAAAATTTAGCCCTGGCCTTGCTGCCGGATTTTTTCACCCCCCCCCCCCGCTCAACAACTTTTTTATTTCTGAGTCAATTTGAGTCAACTGACTTGACTCAACAAAAAAATTGAGTCAAGTTTGAGTCGACTCATATTTTCATTGAGCCACTTGAGTCATGAGTCGAGCCAAGGAAAAAATCAGCTCTTTGCTTGAGTCAGAGTTGAGTCAGGGCTTTCTAAAGTTGAATGATGAGTCGAGTCGGCAAATTTTTTTGAGTCGAGCACAACCCTGTTCTACATCCTCTCCTTCCATCAGTCTGACCTGCAGGTTCCAGTCGAAGCCGCCGACAGAGGTACCACTGGCCCTCTGCCAGTGGTACTCGAACGTGTCGTCATTGATGACGTCGATGACGGGGCAGACGACGGTGGTCCGGTTCCGAGCTATCCTGTCCAGCAGTGGCTCCAGCCACCCTGGAACCAGGGCGCAGGGCGACGTCACGGAGTGGAACAAGCCTATAGAACTCCGATTGGAATACTTGGGATGCTTCAATCACCTAAACGTACTATTGATACAACAAAGGGGACTGTTTGCTTCAGCTGTGTGCAAAATTAACGGGATAAGTGGATGGGTATAGTATATGGGACTCAATGCAAACCTTTCAGTGGATATTCATATAAAATTAAACAATATGCTTGAATCTAGCTGAATGGGTTGATTTGTGTTCCGCAAAAAAAAAAGATTTTATTAATTTGTAAATAACCCACATGTTTGTGTTGTGACATCAGTAAATAACTTATTTAGGTACCAATTACGTAATGCTGCATTCCACGTTTTTATCAGTGTTCACGTCATTTGTGCATTACTAATGCCGGGCTTATTACTGTGAAACATTCGAAAACCGTCAGATAACTGTTTCTGATAACGGTGCTTAAAATCAATAAGACGAGTGATGCGAGCTCGTATAATGCCTAAAATGAGTGTTTCCAAGGTTCCAGCTAATCACATAGCAACATGATATATGCTGTATGCGTATTATTGGAAACGTGAAACTTATATTGCCATCACTTTTTTGGTACATGTTGACATTCCATGATATTCCTGACTAACAGCTTGTAAAGAAAACGCATGTACACGCATTACACAAGTTATATCCGATTACACTTCCTGAGATCACTCTCCCTTTGATCCGACTTTTGTCGCTCGTGACTGGATGTAGTGTCAGTGACGAAATCTCGACAATGTAATTTTGTTTCCGGATGTGTCATTTCCGTAAGCCAGTGCCATTTTTGCGACTACCATTTTCACTGCACGTTGGCATATTCATTATTCACATGAGAGGTTTGGCTGACGCCATCTATTTGAATGTGACCATTTTCCAGGGAGGTCGTTCAGTGCATGGTTCTGATTTCAGATGATATAAAAGCAACCACACAATCGGTACTTCCAACATTTCCCATATCATTCAAGTAGACTGCTCTGTTTTGGCTTATATCCCCTGTGCTGGCACTGTGCTCGTCTTTTCTGTATACAATAATGCCCAGAAAACCGTTCAGAGTCGATTCTGCTGCACACTTAGGCAGGTGGTAGGTGGTGGTTACGGGTGGAGCGGCATCCGAAAACTGTCACTTGCCAAACAAATGGTCTCCAAACAGCGGCAAAAGCGCCAAGGTGCGTAAAAACCGCTGACAGGTCGGTCAATCACCGCGACCGGAACGACGCCCGAGGGAGAGGTGGGTGGTTCGGCTCTGACCGCCGCGCAGAGAAGAGAACAATAGATTCACCGGAAAGAGGTAGAAACAATAGTGAACGATTGTCTTCCCAGCTACCAAAATAGAGGGACGAATGTTGTGATACATAAATTGCATTGAACATTGATGACCAGTAAATGCCAATGCGAATTTACGATTTACCGAAACCATATCACTCTCGAAGCACTCTCAAAGGAAGTAGCTCACGCTCAGCAGTCAGCACGCCCCTGTTTGTGCATTATTGTATTACTGTATTGTATTATTGTATTACTGTATCGTGTATTGTGTAACTCACCTTCCGTGCACTCGCAGTGGCTGTCCAGGTAGGTCAGCACGTCAGCATTGGCGTGACTCGCCCCCAGGAGACGAGCGCGGATCAGACCCTCGCGCTTCTGAGTCCTCACAATCTTCACACGAGGGTACTGTGACATGTAGTCGGAAAGGCGCTTACCCAGATATTCTGAAAGTGAAAAGCCATCACAAAGAAGGTTTAGCAAAAACAAAGATCATCCGCTCTTTCCACAGGCATTGATTGGAGATCAACACTCGGCCGCGGCCCAGCTAGCCAGACCATGGCTCTGGCCGCCGAGGTCTGGAGGCTGCTGAACACCCTCGCCGAGAACGGCACCGAGACGGTGCTCCAGTGGGTGCCAGGCCATGCCGGGCTGGACGGCAACGAGACCGCCGACCGCCTGGCTGGCGAGGCCACGGCGGGCGACCAAGACAGCGCACCGATTGACCTGTCGAGTGCGCGGGCCGCCGTCACGCGCCATGTCCGGGAGCTGTCGCGACGGAGGACAACCGCTGCCCACCCGCACCCGGACCCCACGCCTGGCCACGACTCCCTGGCGCGCTGGGGGTCGGTGACGCTGTCCCAGCTGAGGACCGGCACATCACCACTGACCCGCGACACGCTATTCAAGATTGGCCTGGCAGCCAACGACGAATGCCCCGCGTGCGGGGAGCCCGACAGCGTGACGCACCTGCTGATCGATTGTCCGGCCTATGAGGCGGCCCGCCGCCGCCGCTGGGGTGTCGACCCTTGCCTGGTCGACGTCCTCGGCGGCCCGGCGGCGAGGGTCGTCGACTTCATCGAGGGTGTCGGGCGGACCGAGCCGCCGCTCGACCCGCCTGCGCCGCCGCCCCCCTGAGCGGGCTGGCGGCGGGATGCAGAAGAAGAAGAAGAAGAAGATCAACACCACAGACACGTAAGATTCTCGTGTACGAAGCAGATAATCTTCGTGTATGCTGTCAAAGTCATTCATCTGGACACCATGCTACAAACGGCTGCACATCGTTCGTTCGTGCGTCAGCCGACAAATTGACACACCACAGGGAGACTGACATCCGGCTCCAAACGCCGCGAGCTGTCACTCAATCCGCCTCTCCCTCCCATACAATCACACAAACGACCCGCCAAACTGACTCGACTCCATATACCGCTCAGGTTCCCTCCCATCTCCTCCGCTGCCACCCCTCCCCTCACCTCCCTCCCGTATCGCGTATTGCCAGTCGCGTGCCGGTCCGGCCGCCAACAGCCGCCGACCGCCCAGCCTTCTGATTGCCGCCCATCCCACCGACCCCCTGGCGAATTTGAGCCGCTGTTTGGCAGCGGAGCGCCCTTCTGAGGCCCACACTGTGCGAGGACGATACACTACGTTGGGATGGGCTGCGAAGTCTGATTGGGCAGCGCCCGTCTGCGGGACGCGTTCTGCCTGAGGGCAGGGTGCCGACCGCGCGTCAAAAGGCGGAGCACGCTGCTGGCGGCTCGTCACGGTAGATTGGCGCTCTGATTGCAGGAGCTGCAGTCAGCGTCAACAATTGTTCTGGCCGTGGAGTTGGTACGAGGCTGGTATTGTCTGTGCGCACTGAATTTACAAAGTTATGCTACGAGGCCATTATGTTACGCCTAAAATGATGATATTATCAAATAGCAACCGTTCAAATCAAGTTAATCGATGCTTACATATTTATTTACTACACGCGCCTGGCGTAAGTCGAAATTTCACCTCTTCTCGCGAATAATTCACCAATTGGCAAGTGGAACAAACTCTGATTGCCACCATCACCGAATCGAATGGACGCACATCGTCTGTGAAGTGACCCCAGCTGAGGCCCTCCTTAGCCAGACGACCTCGTCCATCCTGACGCCTTCAGGAGAAGCCGATCTTAGAGCAGGATTCTCGCCTACACTTAGAGCCTCTCCCTCTCACTCTGAACATTGTCGATATTCTAGAAATGGCTCCTAATTAATTAATGTTCTTGTGGACACCATCGTATGCGATGGTCTCTGCTTCGCTGAACTTTGATGAGTTTCAAATTTGTTGATCGCGTGTTGCAAATTTGGTCGCGATGAATTACCATTATCATACTGTGCTAGTGGGATTTGCTGCTGAGCCGGTCATGTGACAATGTCAATGATGATGGTAATGTAAGACGGGACAAAGAACAGAAATACTTCACTTTAATGCAATTATGGTGAAAATTATAGGGACCAGCCTGAAGCCTCCACTGACAATGCGATTTGCACAGTTGATAAAAGGCAGCAATCCCAGGTGCATAATATGAAAAGTGTTGATTGTCGTCTGTCCTTTGGAGTCTTTCTATAGCATTTCTTTACAAAAAGCGCGAGTACGTGTTTTCAGTAATGGAGCCTCACTGACACCGCAACACCAACGTCCATCGAAGGTCAACAAACAGTTCACTCAGGCACTGGCCTGCACATTTTACGCCCCTGTTATTCCCTTCGAAATGGCCAGCGCCAACATTGCAGAATGCAGACGAGCACACGATGTCACCTGCCGTTGCTTCCGAAACATTTTTATTGTGTCTCGCCATCGATTACAGGCCCGTCCGACTGGCGGTATGCTAAGCGCCGTCACAAACCTGCACTGGAGCGCCAGATTATGGACTGGACCGGCATACGACTAGTATGGGCAGACGAACCGGGGAGTCCGGTGCGAGTCAACGTACTCCGCCGGGTCCAAACCGGCAGTGCGCCGTCACTCGTCAGCCGGGCGGTGTTTTGCCGTAGAAAGTCGAGGGAAGGATTATTCGAATAAAATCGCAATTCACCACTGGCGTGGTTGATATCCCTTTAATGCATCTTACAAGGGATTGCATTTACAAGGCGTGAATATTTAACCACAATTTCTTACGGCATTAAAAGGCTGAAAACATCTTGTTTCTGATAGAGAACCTTTCCAAAATGGTCGAACTTCGTATCCATAGGAGCAAAGAAAAAATAAATAACTACCATCGAATGGAAAACTAAATGAAACCGAATAAATGAACAATCATGAAATGGCTCGTGTTTCCCCTCGCTCATCCTACGGTACAGACGGAACGCATTTGCCAAACGGCGAAAATGGGGCATACTTTTTTATCAGCATTTCTGCATTTGCTTGTTTTAAAGACCTTCACTTTACCCGCTGAAATGTTTTATAAGACGTCGCGGTGGCGAGGTGTTTCTTAGAGGGAAATAAGCTGTAAGAAGCGGCGGAGCCGGCGGACGCTCTAGCATATGCTCCTCCGGCAATAAAGAGACGGTGATATATGCACTGCAGGCGGGCCACAGCGCAAATTTCGCTGCCGGACGGGCCCATAAACCCGAAACAGTGTCAGCCTGAATCGGGTACCAGCTGCATTCGCCGCACCTTGGAAACACTCAGCTTATTTCAGAGCGCAGAATAACGCAGTATCCCGTCTTAGACGGAACCAGGGTATCTACCTAGGGTATATGTATATGTGAGTCCTAGGGTATGGGTATATATATAGGGTATATGTGCAACAAGCCGTAAAATTGAGAACGTCGTCATATTCTTCATACCGTGGCTGGAGAAGTCGTCGACCAGGATGAGTTCCGTGAGTAGGTGGGCCGGAGAGCGATCCAGCACAGAGTGGACGGTGCGCACCAGCGTCGACCACGCCTCGTTGTGGAAGCAGATGATAACCGCGGTGTCTGGCAGGTGGCGGCTGAAGCGGCTCTCGCGACACCTGGGGACGGAAGCTGGTCGGTCAGGAGGGTTACAAGTTGACCTTCAGGACCAGCAGACCACAGCAGTATTACAGATACGCGTCTTCTATTCGAGTTCCATTTCACCACACGGAACTGATGTGATCCTTGGAACGGCTATAACATCGCTCTGTGTGGTGAGGAATGCACTATGTGTTGGCATGTTTGGCGTTTCAGGACGCTGCTGGTGGTCTACAGAGGAAGTCAGACGTTGTCCATCAGCTGAACGAATAGATCGTGTCCGGAGGATTAGAGATTCTTCTCATTATTGAAATGACTCAGCGACTTGTAACGTTTTATCATTAGCCTTTTACAGAAACGTGAGCGCATGTGCCATTTGTGGAAGCAGTCATTATTTCGCCTGCAGTGTCGTTTAAAAGGTAACAAAGTAGTTTGTCAGCCACTGAAATATCACGTCACTGATGTGCACAGCTGATGGGACGTCTCACGTCACCGATCCTATAGCGCTGATGTTCGATAGTGAAATCTGAGCCTCCCATGTTTCACTTATGGCCTTATAGACAGCACGCAGCTCTGATGTCCTGAGAACACTGAACAGTGGCCGCAACCATTCATCTTTGTCATTTCAGATGATTTACAGTCATCAATCGACCGATCCGATCGTTCGCTAAGCTCTGTGGGAAATCAAATAAGCCTTCCCTAATAAGGCCGCCGGGACTCGACCGTTGCCATTTGCCAGTACTGAGTACACACTCCATGGATGGTTGCCGACATCGGCCAGGCGCACGCTGACAGATGTCTTCTGTCATTGGTCCAGTAATGCCAGTTACCAAGTCAAATATCGCTTGAGCTCCAATTAAATAGCATAAAAATGTGTTTATCTATCGGAGAATGATAAGTATAAGGAGCAACTGATGCCTATGGGCAGACTTACTCCCGTTTGACTAACAACCGAGCTCGGGGAAAGGGGTATCAATGTGGCTGGTAATCAGTGACAAAGATGGAAAAACGACGGACGTGAAGAACCTGAAAACTTGGGTGGTCATTGACTGCGAATACCTATAGTAAGCACTATATATATAAGCACTATATATAAGCACTAAGAGTCCACCAGCAGTTAAACCTACCAACCAGCACGCTGCCCACTAAACACATGCTGAACCACGCGCGCCAAACAAGTCCTGTGATTCGAGTATGATCAGCAGAGCAAACATTCCCCACTGCCGGTCTAACTACAGACAGACACACAAACGCCGTGCTGGCGGCTGGGACCAAGGTGAAGGTTACACGGCCTGCCGTCGACGAGCGATGACGAGCGCTTCCGAGAAGACGCCTCCGGGGGAACGGGACATGAGGAGCGTTCGAATACACCGCTCGTCTGCGCCCCGGCAACGTATTCATTAGGCTTGCTTTGCCAGACGATGAAATGACGGATTGGCGAGGAGCTTGTGCATTGTGCGATGGTGAGTTACGAATAAGAGGAAGAAGGCAGCTTATTATAAATTTGAATGTTAGTAACTAAAACACCACAACAAAGAGCGGCGATCATTCATTTCAATACTGAACAAAACATTCAGCTTGAAGACCAACATAAGGCCTTTGCCTTTTCACACCGTTTAACCCTCCGGCGAAGCTTCATCATCAGGAATCTAATTATTAGCGACCAGACGAGTTCAGGACGCCGCGCGGGCACCGCTCTGACCTTGTATCCACCCACGAAAACTGACGCTACGAGAGTGAAGAGCAGCCCCCAAGGTCACAGTCCCCGTTAACAGCCGACTGGTTACCAGTCTAGAATATGTAGACATCGGCCTGCTCCAGTTCGCAGTCGCCTCGATTAAGAAGGTAAAAGTGTGTTTTCGCCTTCGGACTTTTGCCTTCCTCCAGACAACTAATGTGAGATGAGGGATTAGTGTTATACATATGCGCTCCAGGCTCTATATGATTTTGGAATGGCATCGGGTCTTAGTTTTTATGAACCCTATGTTTGTAGAGAATTGAAGCATGAGCGATGAATATGGACGCTGTTTATATTCAATTCTTGCTTACTTCTTTGAAAAAAGGCTTTAGTCCATCTTCCCTTTAACCATTATTTTCCACTAGCACAATAATTACAGCTCATGTGTGGTAAGCAGACACCTAAAATGCATCAACGAGACTAACGAATGCATCCTGTTTCGTTGCACTGATCGAATGCGACAGGTCCGTTCAGAAAAGCAATACATCAAACCACAGAACCACAGAGCCACCTTCATTGTACGGTTTTAGTGTTAACTGGAACTGGCTATCTGATGTCACTGAAAAATCCACCAAAAAAGCGTGACGTAAGCCGCAGCGTATACGTGCACCGCAAACCTAAATGAGAAACCGTTATACACGGTCCGAATGGCTGGTTGTACTCGTAAATGGTTGGGCTTCGAGTTGTCGGCTCAAAAAAATGACGAGATAGTTCAAACGAAAAAAAATTGAGATAGACTAGGGAGTGACCAAGATGTGACAGCGATGCTGTCAAGAGCTTTCTCATCTCACCACGCTATATATAGGACTTCCAAGCATGCGTTTTAGAAGCATTCTGCAGCGCACACTAATGGTATGCAGCCCTCTGATAGAATCTAAAGCTAAAATTGCCGCTACACTGCCGTTTGGTTCACCAGTCATCTTCTGCCCGGAGCAGCCCCTTGCGCGACGGTTCCAGTCAAAAGCTCGCTCTGCCTCCGCTGGGGTCGTCGACTCAGTCCCCGTCGGCTCTCGTGCGCAGACTAAACCGCAAGGTCACCGAGGTCACACACCCTGTGCAGTGTGCAACACAGCGGCTGAGACCGGCGCAACGCAGCGGAAGAGGCCGCCGTCAGTCGGGGTGGGACGGGAGGCTGGCTCGAGGCCCATTTCATAAACGTGAAAGAAGTGATCAAGATTACATCGAACTCTACTTGTTTCTTTTTTTGTCAATGAAGAGGCCATACTTCGATCAGTGCTAAGCAAGGGCACTCGTATACCGAGCTAAGCATAACTCGGATGAGATAGCTTGAGTGGCATCACCCCCGACCTTGATAATCAAGAAACCAAGCCAATAACCCATAAATAACGGCTCGCTAATCATTATTCTGCGTTCGGGGCTGTACTTACTTGTCTGAATTCCGGGTGGGGCCAAAGCCATTGGCCTCCAGGGGTGTGTCAAGGACCATTCATCCCCATTAATCCGGCGGCTTCGTGATTGATCTACCTAACCCGTGCCGGCTTGTCGAATTGTTAATTACGAGCGAGCGAGCGCAGCGAGCGAAGTGAGTCTTTTCAATATAACGGAAAAATCTCAGTATGAGCGGCCCGGCCCGGCCCGGCCCGGCCCGGCCCGGCCTGTAACGCTTTTGAGAGGCTTATATCTCAGCAACCGCTGGACCGATTGGCCTGCGGTCTTTTTTGTTGGGTAGCCCCATCCCTTCTACCCCGTAGGGGAGAGTGGGGCAAAGCGGCCACCCTAACGCTTCTCACGATGCCAACGCTTGATTTTTAAACTTGGAAAGATTCTTTCTATACCAATGTGATCCCTATTAAGTTGCCTTTTATTTCAACTGCGTTTTATTTCCAAAGGCGTTCACATATGAAAGATATTGACAAAACTTTAAACCTATGCATATTGGCCACTTTGCCCCATACCCAGGGGCAAAGCGGCCACCGGCGTCTTCTCAAGTCCCGATATGAGAAACAAAATAGTTGTCTTGTGTACGACTACGGTATTTGATGGTGACAAGGTTAAGCGAGGATGGATGTTTACTTTATCATCTTCCACCCGTAGGTAAACAAAGAAAGAATTTTCATGAAAATAAACATTGAATTGCATTATTTGGTAACTCATGCAACTGAAAACTGGCCAAGATAATTGCATGACGACACATTTGAATATAAATTATGTTTTTTATCCAGATGGAAGCAACTTATGGCCAATTGGGGGGTGGCCACTTTGCCCCGGCCACTTTGCCCCGCGCATACCGTCCGAGACAAAAATATTCCAGCTTAGCTATTAGTGGGGTAAAAAACATTAAAATTGGTAGAATACATGTATGATAACCATGCAATGCATGGACAAGAACGCTTATAAAAATTCCAAACGGTTATGGAATAACATAACATTTAAAAATTATAAACATAGTTGGTAACCTGGCAAGAAATGCTTTTCCGTGTTTCACAGAACAATGGTGATGGGCCTGAAACCCCGGTCTGGCTCATTCGAGCGACCGTGAAGAGAAGTATAATTGGAAACCATAAATTGGAACTGACGCCAGTCATGAAGGGCTAAAACGATGGGTGGCCGCTTTGCCCCGGGTGGCCGCTTTGCCCCACTCTCCCCTAATTGACTATTTTTGATACATCTCAGTGACCATCGTGGCACGTGCCACGTGAAAAGTCAAGGGTGTTCAAGGTGTTTTGCAAAAGTAGTGATTTTGAGAGGCTCATATCTCAGCAGCCGCTTGGGCGATTGACTTGCGGTAATTTTTATAGGGTAGCAGCATCTCTTCTACCCAAAATAGGATAGTCTCGATGCATGTGGGTCACCCCCAGTGCACGTGCAAAATACAACAATAAGGGGTGCAAAATTTGTTCCCATTTCAGTAACTCGGTAATTACTGGGGCGATTTCGCTGAAACTTGGCATACAAGTAGGTACCCACCAGGCAATGCATTCCCATGTGTTGCGGTTAGGGTGCTGCTGCACGTGCGCACGTGCAGGGGGCGTTTCCAGATCTCGAGAACGGCTGGGCCGATTGCGCTCAAATTTGGTACACGGCTGGGGACCAGTTAGTAGGGTGCCGTGCAAAAGTCATTTTGGACCCCGTTTGCACGTGCGCACGTGCAGAATACCGCTTCCAGATCTCAGGAACGGCTGGGCCGATTGCGTTCAAATTTGGCACACCGCTAGCAACCGGTTAGAAGGGTGCTTTGCGCAAGCCCGTTGGAAGCACCCTCTCGCCCTTCCGCACGTGCAGGGCTCACTATCTCGCTCGCTCGTTCTTCGCCCAAAAGGCGTTTTACTGGTATGTATGATTAACAGTGATGTTATAAAGAATCACAGCTCGCGAAGGAAGGGAATTATGTTCGTCGTGATCGATGAATCAGAGGCGGCACATTGCCGTAACGATCACGATATGGGAGAGAAACTTCTAAGTAAGCGCTAGCTGAAAGGTACCGTCTTCCGAGTGCTTGCGTCTAATTGCGGATATGTTCCTATCGAAACCAAAATTAAACCAGTGTCATAACCTTCAAAACGTTGTGACTACAGAATGTCGTGGGGTTTAGTAGACGGCAAATCATTCAAATGCAAGTTGAACTTACAAGATGAACGCATAAGTCAGCTTCCATTACCGGTATGACATTAACATTTCTGTGGAAACCTGTTCACAGACCGATGACCCTTCCCCAGCAGCTGATCATTCCAAACGGTACTTTTACAGCCACTTATGAAGCTGTCGACCGTACTCGGCGCACCCACAGCGCATTGGCAGGCACACCTCAGCCAGTGCCAGCGTTTATCGCATAATCAGCTGGCGTGCCGACATCTCCAGCTAGTGAACTGACACCTCCAGTCACCAAGCGGGTGTCGTTATAGATGGAAGCTATATCTCCATATGCCTGTGTTTCGCCACGCGAGTATTTCACAGACAGCTCCCCCAGATGTCTTACGAGTTACGAGCCTTACAAACCGGCAAAAGATGTTACAGGGAGTGGCCCACCTTGAAAGGCAGCCGGTATTCATCTCCCAGCTTCGCTAACGGGCGAGAATACAAATCTTCCCCACCGGCTGGGGAGCTTCCCGAGCCGCGGGAGGGGCCTTGAGGAGGCGTCACACGGGGTCAAAGGTGGCGCCTCCCAGGGTCACCGGCGGATGCCACAGTGAAGTGAAAAACACGGGCGTTGGACGAAAAGCATGTCCGGGACGCCCATCGCCGGTAAACAGCCTGCCCATAGTGAATACGTGTGCTCGAATAATTTGCACACTAACTCAGCAATACCTAACCAAGCACGGCCACCTCACTAGCGAGATCCTTAGCTTCGCATGGGCAGTGGCATTGATCGCGATTCAATACAACTGGGAGTGAAATTGTTATTTCGAAGTCTGATAAAGCACTGCACCTCCCAGAAAGTATGTAAGATTGAGGAACCGGAAGAATTATGTGAGTTATACAGGTTTTCTTATTTGAAGACCACAAGTTTTCCTGTTCAAACGCCAACGATGACATGGCATGAACCACCGGGACCCGGCGAGACATCTCATTCGTGAGCCACACGAAAACTTTGGAACCCAAAGACACTTACTTGTCATCACGGACATCCGGCAGGGTCCGGTGCACGGAGATCTGGTCGCTAACGTACTGGTTGAACGCGTTGCTCGACCAGCCCTTCTCCATTGCCTCTTTGTCCTCCTTCGACAGTTTGTCTTTGACCACTATGACCGGTTTCCCCATCTCTCCGGGTCCACTGGGCTCCTGAGGAGGCAGAAGGAATCCCCTCTGTTCGCCGACTGGCGGGTCATCAGCTGGGCCGGACCCCGTGGCCGTCTTGGGCAGCCGCGCAGGCAGCGAATCTACACCACTACCCCGCATCAGGCGCTGCACAATGCCGCCCCGGCGGCCCGTCTCCAGCTTCTCCAGCCGCGTGACCTGCTGGTCGACGAAGAAGAACAGGAGCAGTGTCACCCACACCAGCGGAATGGTCACCAGCGCCTTGAAGCCGAGCGAGCGGCGTCGGCAGACCGCCATGGTGATTGGTGACCGCGGCTGGGCGGCTGGTGCGACAGTGCCGGCGGCCTGCAACGAACAGTTCAGTGGTGATTAAGGGCAAGATCTGATTAAGAGGAAGTGCTCTTGTCGTCTGTGCGCATAGCCGTGTTTTACATGGAGCCTGTCAATCCGTCCCTTAAAACATTCGAGCGAAAGATTTTACAGAAAAACGCAAAAGAGGATTATGAAGTAGGTCTATTTTGCCCCCCCCCCCCAAAAAAAACTTACCCAACGTTTAATAAAGGTGAAAATGACCGCCCTTCACAGTAAATCACATTCCATTCACTTTATTTTACGGGTCAATATTTACCGTAGAAAAAGCACTGACTTAACAGCATGCGTTCACGCTTGACTAACCTTACGAATAATGGACTCAGAGCGTTGAAAGGGCGCCTTCCACTTGCTCTACCCGAACTCTATTCACGCTGAGCCTTATGGAGCCTGCGACGTCTTCGCCTGTGCCCGATCACTATTTTCTTTACTTCATTCGAGTTGATTCGAGTCATTCGAGTCTCGTTAAATGCCAACGCTATTTCTGCTCGTGATCTTTTATTTGCGGATACCTCTATGAAAACACATTGCACTCATATTTAGGAACCAATTCTTCGACCCCAGTAATGCGTATATTGATTCGGTAGCTTTCGGAAGCTTCTGCTCCCTTCATCAGCCGTGCTTTAAAATGCATTAAAATACAGGACAATACGTCTCAAACGTCTCAAACGTCTTTGTGGTATGTATTTTGGTAGGTGTTTGAGACGTTTGAGACGTATTGTCTTGTATTTTAATGCATTTTAAAGCACGGCTGACGAAGGGAGCAGAAGCTTCCGAAAGCTACCGAATCAATATACGCATTACTGGGGTCGAAGAATTGGTTCCTAAATACTTATAACATGTCCCAGTACAATAATTCCATGTTTAAAACATTGCACTCATATGGCTACGTAGGTAAAATGTTCTGAAATGTTCCACCGAAGAACGTTATGATAGAAACAAAGGACAGTGAGTTGATCTAACAAGCTTCCAGCTCTATCACTTGCAATCGCATAAGCGTACAATAGACCCAATTAACCTTTGTACGCCATTGTTACCATGCTGTTTTGGGATTAATTGACCGCAATGAAAATAAACCATAACGTTATAGGAAAGAAACAATGTATATTTTGTGCTGATTTGGTCCAAAACAATGACAAGTATTTTCCCAGTACCGCGTGATCACTGATCAGTGTTCATTGGTGCTTTAAATGTTTGAGCGGTCGAAAAACAATCATGTCTTGTCACTGTTGGGACCATACTTGCCCTGTCATTCCCATTTCTTATCTAGGTTATATAGACCTATAAGTTGATCGTAAGTAGATTATCTTCCAGTTGTCGAAGAAAGTCGGTAGTCACCCTAAACGAAAGGCAAAGTCATTGATAACTAAGGTTTATCAGAATAAAATTAATTGATCATAGTCGTAGTTAAAACATCCAATAATAATTCCTTATAAATAACTTGGCTCGATTTGAGATTCGCTAAGGAGATAGATCTCTTTATGTTTTAGGGCCTTGGATCTCTTGATAGCGAATTCAGATATGTACAAAATTCGATAAACATTGACTAAGTGAAACATTCAGATCCAAAACACACTGAGATTCTCATTTATCTTTGCTCTGAACATGTCGACCAAATCTTAGTCCCAGTCTGAAGTCACACCCCTGAAGTAGAAACTACTGCAACTTCCGTCCAGTCAGTGTCGGTCAAATGTGCGAACTGACAGGCGACAGCATAATCATGGAACCGGCAGTCCTGTCCAGTCCAGGTCATTGAATTGAACGATCATTGAACGAACATATATATATAACAACGAACAATAGACGTCTTCTTTGATACGACAGGGCTCTGAGTCTGAGGGGACGACTGTAAACAGCGAACATGAAATACCTACCGATGCATCTTTCAATGCTTTACGTCCACATGCAGGAGGTTAAGCACTTAATTGATGCAATGCGATCAACAGACATTATAAAGTCATTGCCCCAATCAATTGTTACACAAACGGAGTGAAATGCTGCCAATTAAGTCACAATTACCTTTGTCTGAATCCTTCCGGGGTGGAGCCTCCTCTTTCACCAGACCTCCCCTCACCTCGAGTCACGCCGTTCACCTCACGCCGGCCCACCCCGCACAGACTCCCCGGCCCCACCAGCACAGGAACCGACTGACGGCGACCTGCCGACTCGACCGGAGCAGCCGCACCGGCCTGGGGGCTGTGACGTCAGCCACCGCCGCGCGGGTCCTTCCCGCGCAGCGCCGTGCGAGAGCTGGAACTTCGGAGGTGTGCGCGGGGGAGGAGGGGAGGGGCGAGAAGGGGCGGCGACCAGAGGAGATGACCACTCCCCAACCAACCGCGAGCTAGCCTTGGGACAGAGCCTGTGGCACCCAGCCGGTTTGGGACGGTGCTGCGTAGGCATAATGCGGTCAGAAGACATGGATCTTCTCTGGAGATCTTATCAGGGTACGGTAGCCTTGAGTTGAGCGTGGTGTTTTGCTGGGTAGAGACTATTGCAAGGTGTTTTGATAGTGACGGAAGCCTGAAGATAAAAACAACTTTTTCCGACTAAACGAAACTCAGTAAAAAAAAAAAGTGTTCAAATCTGTTACCTACAAACACTCAATGATGCCCGCATGGACCAGCATTCGCTCAAACATGCATATTTGTTGAACTCATGCGGCTTGCCTGTCTCGGACATTTACTGGTCCTATACCCCCTTCCACCCCCCCCCCCCCTGAAACCTTAGTCCCACTATTTCGACTGTCAGCCGCCGTATGAACAATTGAACATACCTGGCAGAGTCACGGGATCGTGACCGGAGGTCACAGACGATAATACCGGAAAGAATCGTCAACTGCATGTGAATAGCTGGCTGGTGCCGGTTCACGAGGACTGCGAGCACGCCAAATTGATGTAAAATGCTGCTGTAATAACTGATATAAACTCGTCATTGCTTTGCAAGTCATGCCAACTAGGTACAGCCCTCAGCAGACTGCGTGGTAGGTATTCTTTTTTCGACAAAACCGGTAATAACTCAAAGACTATTGTTGTCAGTTGGTCGGAACTCATTGCACATAGATGCGCCATGATCTACTCCTTCGATTGGGTCTATCACTAAACGAAGTATATGCCTTGCGTGGCAACAAAATGCAAAAGTTTGATTTTGGGGCAAATTTAAACTTTTGGATTTTGTTGCAAAACTGGATGGAAAATGTATACGATGGTAATGCCAAATTGCCAACCTAAGGTGCGGAGTCTCGTGCGTCTTGCTGTTAGGTACGATTTCCGAGTGACCGATAGCAAAGTACCCGCGTTATTCTCGGTTTTGTCGAAAAAAGAATACCTACCACGCAGTTTGCAGAGGGTTGTACCTACTGTGCTGCTCACTCTACACCTATATATCCACCCGAAACCGTCTTCCTTTAGGGTTCACGCTTCTCATAAGCGTGAATGTTATAGCGATCTGTAGGTACTTGTCAAATCGTTACCTCGTTTTTTCAAACGATCTTTAAATCGTTTTTGATGAATATGTAGCATAGACCCCTGATGTACTTCAGTGGTAACCAAATGGTTTATGCAATGTATTTGTTCACATTATCGCTTTTCATAAATAATCAAACACTTTCTGATACAAACAAACGCATCATTTCATTATATTGTGTAGATGTTTAACTGTTTGACGCAATATGGTGTTATTGTATTTATTTACACGCTTTGTATGCATGCTTTGTATTAAAATTCCTGTCACATAGTCTCCACATAATTCTCGTACATCAGTTAAAGGGACTATCCCACCTTTAACATGGGGTTTGAGTTGAGATAGCCAAGTTTGCGGCGAGATTCAGAAACCACTATCTATCTAGGTTGCAACCCCCGCGGCCTCTTGGTGTTGAAGAAATTCGTTCCCTTCATTTGAAAATGGGCCTTGTACAAGGCCCTATCTTCAACATGGAGTGACCGTTAGTGTGACGTCACCTCGTTTAGTCATTCTGATTTAAATGGGTTTGTTCGTTGAAAAATCGCTTAAAACTTGGTCTGAACTTTGTTGTGGTGCCTACAGAGTAAAAAGAATCAGCTTTATGACAGTAATGTGGCCTGGGGAAGGAGGTAATTTTGGGCTGTGACGTCACATATTTGAAAGTTTGTGTTTGGAATATGGGAAGCCTAAGATGTTTAATGAAAAATAAATGCCAGAACCGTGTTCCTGGTCATCCAATCTATAAAGTCGGGCACAATTTAACTGGTTTTAACAACATTTTAGAAGGTGGGATAGTCCCTTTAACAAATTTTTCGTTGCGAACATACCGCGGGTGATACGAACTTAAACATGCTTCAAAAGGCTGATATTACCCAGATTTCTGAGAGTACAAACAGCAGCTTCAAGACATGCTTACACCTGTGTCACCCATTCATACAATTCTGCGGCCGACCAGCAGGGTGCCGTCTCCGTTGGGCGCGAACGGCACGCCCTGGACCACCTCAGCCGGCGTGACCTCCTTGACGGTGACGGTGCCGTTGGTCCACACGGTGACCAGCTGGATGACCTTGCGCTCCTTCTGTACCGCCACCAGCTGGGAGGACGGACTCGGCACGGCCGGCACCTCCGTGCAGCTGCCGCCCACCAGCTGCGCCAGACGACCGCGCACGAACTGAGAGAACTTGAGCGCGTCCGGACGGTTCACCGGCCTCTCGTCCTGTGAGAGGAAGAGGACCGACGCCACGACGAACTGGCCGATGGGGTCGGCGGCGGTGAAGTTGACCTGCTGCGCCTGGCGGTACGCGAAGCCGGCCCACATGTCGCGAACGACCGGCACAGTCAGCCGCACGCAGCTGGGGACGTTGCGGGCGATGGAGAGGGAGGCCAGGCTGAGTTCGTCCGGGGCCAGCGGTCGGTTCAGCAGCGGAGAGCTGGTGTTGGCCAGGATCTCCGCCGACAGGTCGAGCGCCGCCTGTCTGCCGGCCGCGGCGCTCAGTTGACCGGTGGCCGCCTGTAGCGCGAACTCTGTGCGCACAGTGCGGCCGTCGAGCAGGATGTGCGCGTGGCCCGACAGCCGGACCGCGCGCTGCACCACGTAGGACGCCTCCGGGTCGTTGAGGTCACACGTCGGCGGCATGGGCGGCGAGCAGATGGTGATGTTGAGCGCTACGGGACGCAGCGCTACCAGGTAGAACCGAGCCTGAGGCACGACCTCGCCCGCTGAAGTGTTCAATCGCAGGATAATGGAGGCGTGAGAGCAGCTCACCAGGGCGAGCAGAAGTAGCAGCAGGTGAGTCATGGTGCCTGTGGCGGTGCAGGGTCTCTGTCAGTGATCAATGGTGAGACTCATCCCTCGTCAAGCCAGCCTCGTTCACATAACGAGAGAGGCCAGCGGGTGAAAACATACCACCCCTCCTGCAGTGAATAGTGATTAGCTGCTTAAACGTTACTTGAAAAATGATAAAATTGCTGGGTGAGCTACTTTTCCTTAGACATATCGACCCTGAGCTAATGCGGTGGCTCGAGATCATTGTTGACCGGTTTTATGTCTTTAAGAAAAAACATAGCTCTGAGTGTTTGCCTTAACCCGCGCCCTGGTGGGGTCTGTTTATAACGCGACCTGGTGGGGGGGGGGCTATTTTTTGCCCCCCCCCCCTCGTATCTCCGAAACTACTGGACGGATCCGAAAAATTCAAACGGCGTTCGAAAGGCCTGTCAAATTTGTCGAAGGAAACCAAATTTTATTGACCTCGGGGTCACCGATGACGTCACAGGTCAGGTCAAAGATGAAATGTTTCACCGTTCACGGGTCTTCTAGGGAATGCGCTATAACACCGAGGAAAACGCATTTTGTCGGGAATCAGCGATAGGGCGTCAATTGCCTAGTAGATATGTTGCTGTTAGAGGTCACTGGTCATACCAGGTCAGGTCACAGGTCAGGTCACCAAAGGTCACCAAGGGTCACCACATGAACCCAACTTTACTAAGGTTATGCGATGCATGTTTTATGGCCAGTTTTTTCATTTCCAACTCAATGGTGTTGGTTATAAGACCATCAGGTACGGTTTAGGTCACTTTCTGGTGGAGATCAGGTCAAGGTCAGGTCAAAAAAGGTCAAATTTCAAAGTTGATATTTTTGCATAAAATGGGTATTGATTCGAGTTTGAAAATTGAGTTTGAAAATTTGACGTCATCAATTTTGAACAGTTTTTTTCGCTATAACTTGGCCAAAAAAAGAGGTATCGATCTCAAATTTGGTATGTAGATAGAAGGCGGTAAGGACTATCACATATATTCCGGTTTTTTTCGAAATTCAAAAAACTTTTAGGATTTTTTGGCTATTATATTCAAAAAATCTATTTTTTGATTTTTGGGGGTCAAAATCAAAAAATTTCAAAAATCCGAGATAGCAGTTTTGTAGCCCTGTCCATTCTACAGCTTTTATGTCTGTATCATTTTTCTGTATTTGCAAAGCTATAGGCCTGACAGCTCTTCCCGCGAAACCCTTTTTTGGGTCGAAAACGGCAGAACATGACGTCACTCTGACGTCATTTCCGGCCAACCTATCATAGCCTTTGGAAAAATTTTTGGTCACAATGTGTAAAATTGATGTCCGGGAGGGTACTGAAAGTTTGGTGACGATCGGCGCAGTGGTTCTGGAGATATATCGAAAAGTCTGGAGGGGGGGCAAAAAATAGCCCCCCCCCCCACCAGGTCGCGGGTTAAGGAAGATATTTATTTTATGAAAATTATAATAAAAATAGCAATAAAAGCAAAACATGGATAAAGTTCTCCAACGCTTCCTTATGCGTCTTGCTAGTTCCCTAGCCTTCGGGTTCGTAAATGATTTAATTGTAAACCCCTCCACTATGGCTAAGTTGGCTGAGATAAAAATATAAAGAATGTGTAAGTTGGCTGTATATAAAAATCGCTTGTTTCGCATGAGGGGAATAGCAAATGGAGTGAACAGTAAATAGCTGATAAAACTTGCGCGATTACCCACTCTTAGCTATGTTGAATTGCTGCAATCATAACCAAAAATTACATGGTAGCACGCTGTATGCCTTACTGCAAAGTGCACACAACACTCACCAAGTGCGTGCGGCGTGTTCCGTGAAAACTGGAGGAGAGGCAGGCGCCTCCGTTTTGCCACGTCTTTATACCCTGTCAGAGTGCGACAGGGGCTGGCAGCTAAACACCGGTCGCCAAGGGGTCGGTCAATCAGATGTCGGGTCATTTAGGAGTCACTCAGTCAGATGTCACTTCCGAAAGGCCACAGGCGTCACCGCAGACGGCGGTCGCGCGCACTCGGCTAAACTGGCGATTGACGCACCAACGACGCTTTGTGGTGTGTGTGACAATTTATATGAGAGAGGTGCACATGTTTACACATATTCACTCATGTCCTCGTTACACTATGCGTCACAATAGAATGCGTGAACTATTTTCCCATGATTTTCATGTTTCTCAGTTCTCATGCTTCAACTGGTAGCCTATACATACCATAGACTGGATTTAAAGTCATAAGAACAACCGTTGACCACTATGGTCAGGTCAAATAGCCGAGTGTATGACTCCGGTTTTGAAAATAATTTCGTAAAAATGGTAATGGAACGGTGATTTTAACATCGTGCTTATCCTCTCACGTCATGCTCAGCCATCTTGAATGCTATACTAACTTGTCCATGCGAAAGGTTATGACTTCAGGTAAAAGTCAGGTCATAGCCGCTCAGGTCATGAGGCTGGCGACAGATTACCGTTAATCATCGTAGGTCAGTTACCTGACCTAACCTGGAAATGTGGTTAGTGTCAACTGTCACTGTCACAAGAGTCAGTCAGCTTGAATATAGGTCAAGTATGTCAACTTAGAGAGCTCGTGAGAACACCATCACGAGGTGACAACTGACACCTCTCGGCTGGGGAGGGTGTCAGATTCGATCTCGAATGACTAATGCTTTGTGGGGTGCATCCTTCTCCCCGCAGTGACCAAAACCACCTTTCTGGATCCACCGCTATCGATCGGCCTTTTCTTGTGACCACGGGCTCCGCCGCGGTCTCAGGATGGGGGGGGGGCAACCCAGAAATGCACACCCAAATACCTCTGGCTGCATTACGGAAGTGAAATTATTGGGGGGGGGTTCGGACCCCCGCGACCCTCTCGATGGCGGAACCCCTGCTTGGGACAGATCCGCACTCAGCCGCACTCCGCAGGTCCGCTCCGCACTCCGCACTCCGCCGAGGCGGCGGTCGAGCGACACCTGGTGGCAACTCTCTCAAACAGCCCGTAGATGGCAGGACCTTATTTGTACCATGGTGGCAGCACCTCACTGACATTTGCCTTGCAAATAAGGGCTGAGAGGGTCAGCCGAAGGGACTTTCAATTTCATATTTCAAAAATATTTGATTATCTGTAACAGCGTGTGATTTGTGAATGTGATCACAATATGATCACAAGGACGTCACTTATAACGTGATACAAAGGGCAGTAGTCTCAGAGATAAGGTCACTGCTTGAAATGCGAAAAGTTTTCTTTTGTTTTGTTTGAACCTTTATTCAGTTGTTGAACTTGTTCAAACAAAGTTGTGAAATAGCTGCTATGAGATAGTGGTTTTGATAACTACAACTGATAACTAAACGAAAAGCATCCCTGCCGGGATTCGAACCCGGGACCTTTGGATTAGAAGTCCAACGCGCTATCCACTGCGCTACAGGGACAGCCGTCGACTTATGTCCTAATAGTTTAATATAAACTATAATGTAAATGTGTACATTGGTAAGCCTTCTCACGTATGATATTGCTCGTATTGGATTGTAAATAGACATCATCGGTTTACAAAAAAGATTATTTTTTAGTCAACCATCATCACCCGTCCTTGTCTGCCTCATGACAGACCCATCTGCATCTTACTCACATAACTCTTTGTGGGATGGCGATGGGTTGTGACGGCAAGTCCTCCGATGGATTTTGGACTACATGCACTCTCTACGGGGTGACCGTTTGATTGGCAGCGCGAGTTGTCCCGTCTTACCGTCATCACCGGGACGGTCTCTGCCGCTGCGGCTCACCGTCGGTGGTCCGCAGTGCTTTGTGTTCGCCCCGAACCGAATGCTTACGCCCTACTCTACACATTATCTCATAGTTCTGCAATGACCCTTCAGGTGAGGTCATTGCATTTCCCTTTAAAGTTTTAATCCGCGACCGGGTGGGCCTCTCAGCCAGCTTCGCCATGGTAGGGGAGGGGTGCCTTTTTGGCCACACCAGATACCTACTTTTCGTATCTCGGAAAGTAGGTAAGCAAGCTAGAAAGACGCGTTAAAAAGCAGTATAGATAGTTCGCTGTGAGACCTTTCATAATTATACCAGTCATTTTTGATCAGGTTGCTGAGGTCACTGGAGGTCACCAAAGGTATAATTTTCGCAAGCAAAAACCTGGCAGGTGGGACCAAAAACGTCCCCACCCCCAGCCGGGCGATTAAGGTCACGGTAAGCTCACGACCCGTGTCATTGCCGACCCCTGATTATCCCTAAAAATTAACTTTACTGAGCTCATCTCTTAATTGTAACGGTAATCAAACTATTATCGAGAATTGTTTAGGACAGAACATTGTTCAGGCAAATCTTATTTATCTCGATACCGGCAGTGCCATCACAGATCAGGTAAAACTGCAAAAGACATGGTAGGTATTTTAACGTTTTGCAATGCCATGCTAACACATAATCATGTGAGCGATGTGAACTATTGTATTCACATTCACATTGTATTCACATTGTTTCGGAACTTTCCCCAATCGACTTGGGGCTATTACAGTTCCAAAAGGATCGGTAACAACGAAAAACAGTGGCGTCATCACATCATACATATAGTGAGCACAACACAAATGCCGCAGCATTGATAAACATAACGAAAAACGATAATAATAATTGCTAACAATTAAATTGCAGGTTGCACGCTGAATGTAACATTAAGTGGGATGGTTGTTCGAGATGTTCACATTCAAGTACACATTCATGTTCACATTCAAGCCACATTCAAGTAGGGTAGCCTGGGGCAAGACGCCCCAGATAATTTATTTTGCTACATAACTTTTGTCCCACATGACCTGGAAGGCTAAATTTGTGCTCAATGCGTTCTTTGGACATTTTACTTTAAATTCCACCCCTCAAATTATTTCACCTATGATCGGACTACCAGCTAGGAAGCGATTTGTAAAGCAACTGCAAATGGGGCATTTTGCCCCAGCCCCAGGGCAAAACGCCCCACGGCCTGGGGCAAGAAGCCCCACACTCTAGATTAAAGATTAAACATGGTAGTTGGCTAAATCTTATATGAGAGGTCCGTTAGACCTCTGGAGGCACGGCACTGAAGTTAGCACGTTCCATCCTGTCAGGTGTTCAGCTACGACACTATTGTATGAGCAGGTTTTTCACCTGCCTCAAGGACCAAATAATAAATTATTGCAATGCATATGTTTACAGAATACTTCCTTTGCCATCCAGTTGCTGAGAAAAATACACATAAAGGCATAGAAACTTACTGTTCGCCAGCTACCGAACATAAGAAAGTGGGTAGCCCGAACAACACATGGGGTAAAACGCCCCATGGGGCTTTTTGCCCCGCGACCTACTGGGGCGTTTTACCCCATCACGTAGTTCGGTCAGAGAACAACGCTTTGCACTCCAGCAAGTCATAATTTAACACTAACCAACCCGACATGATAAGCGTTAGACAATAGTTGTTCAAAATGCATAACAGTCGTTGACCTGATGTGGACCATAAAAGAACGCCATGATGCATAATCTGACAACAAAACATAAAAAATCACTCAAAAAACACATTTTTGGCTATATCTCCCGAAAGAGTTAACACAATTTCTTTCCAGTCTGCTCATATAATGATCATATAGTGCACGTTTTATAGAAGAGAGGATGTTTCCCCAGAACTCTGCCAGTTCCGAGAAACATCGGTGAGGCGTTTTACCTCGGCGGGGCGACTTGCCCCGGTCTACCCTACACTAACGTACATGTCATCAAGAACGCAGGTATTTAGATTATGCATGTCCAGGTCGGTCACATATATGGCTCACCAACTTGCTAGCAAACGTTGGTATTGGCAGTAGTGTGAGATCATAAGGCAGAGCATTATATTGTCGGGGTGCGCGACTACAAAACGTCTCCGGCCCATTTCTGTACAGGACATAGGTACCTGCAGATTGTTATTCTGCCTAGTATCGCGGTCGCGAATGTCCGACCTCAAAATGAGGTTGTCGGCAAGCGTTTTAGGCACTCCCGTGCGACGCACTTTGTGAGCCATGCACAGAGTATGGTACTCGACAAGCTCACTGGCTTTAAGCCAGCCTAATTTATGTAATAAGTCAGAAACATGATCAAATTTCTTGCGTCCAAAAATGACTTTAGCCGCATAGTTTATGACTATGCGATTAACCCTCGCCCATGTAGGGGGGGGGTTGGTGCAACCCCCCCCCCTGAGGTTTTTCGGAAATAGTGCAAAAACGGCGGCGCGCAGCGCCGCCAAATTTTGGGTACCTTATGGGGCAAACCTTGCGCATCTTTTGATAAAAAAAATTTGACCGGGTCATGTCAGGTCACGGAGTTATGACGTCACAAAGGGAACAGCCTCCGGCCGGATTTTCACAAACTGAGTGCCAACGCCCGAGGTTTCCTGCCGGTGGTACGGACATCGGTTGATGGATCGTGATGAAACTTCCCATGCATGTTGGGGCAAGTATTGGCTATCATATGGTATGAGAAACTTGACCGGGTCAGGTCAGGTCACGGAGCTATGACGTCACAAGAGGAACAGCGTCCGGTACTATTTTTGAAAAGCGCCCGAACCACTATTTTGCTAATTCTTGTCACCTCAATGGGAATATGCAGCAATATTAGCTTCTATAGGGAGCAAATGGACCTTCCAAATCCAAAAATACAATCAGATTTCAAAAATTTAAATTTTGATTTTTCGAATTTCTGCCGCCGACTGTGACCTTGCCGACTTCCGGCGCTCCCAACGCGCCATTTTTAGAGCTAGGGAAACGAAATACATACCAAACGATAGATAATTGATCAAGGAACACGATAGTGAAGGTTTCAAGTCGATATCTCCCACCGTTTTGCCGCAATCGCCGCGGAAAGTTGAAAAAAGTCTATTTTTCCGAAAATTTGACCTTTGACCGGTCAAAAGTAGGTCAAATGTTGACCTAGGACCAAAAAATATACCACCAATCGCGAGATCTCGGCAAG